CAAAAAAAAAAAAAAAAAAAAGCTTCAATCATGGTCTGCTTTTTTTAACCATGGTATACATTTTTTCATGGGTAAGATTCATTCCATGGAAGTTAGGCAATCTTTGCCTTGAACATCTTCAGTAAATAGCTTGAATTTTCTAAATGCAATTTCATCATCCTATAGATAAGCAAGACTCAACTTCAAACACAAGACCCTTGAGTCCATCAGATGCCATTTTTGTACCTTGGTTCCTGGTGACTAGTGTTTTTCCATTATTTCTTACATTGAACATAGCAGGTGCCTTCACATCATACCAATCTTTCTTAGAAAATGGATTAACCACTTTCTTCTCGATTCCCTTTTTGTCACCGTTTACAAGGCACTGCTTCTTGCCAGTTGCCATAGTGCTGTGCAAAGAGCCAAAAGGGAATGACAAGCTATTTTTAAATCTTAGAAGAAAAAAATTGGCTTGGCACCTGTAGCTCAGGGGTTAGGGTGCTGGCCACATACACTGAGGCACACGGGTTCGAACCTGGCCTGGGCTTGCTAAACAACAATGACAACTGCAACCACAACAAAAAAACCCAGCCAGACGTTGAGGCTAAGGCAAGAGAATTGCTTAAGCCCAAGAGTTTGAGGTTGCTGTGAGCTGTCATAGTGAGACTCTGTCTAAAAAAAAAGAAAGAAAGAAAAATACAGTCTTGGTGCCTATGGCTCAGTGAGTAGGGCGCCAGACACATACACTGAGGTTGGCAGGTTCGAGCCCGGCCCAGGCTTGCTAAACAACAATAACAGTTGCAACTAAAAAAAAAAATAGCCACGTGTTGTGGTGGGCACCTATAATCTCAGTTACTTGGGAGGCTGAGGAAAGAGAATCGCTTAAGCCCAAGAGTTTGAGGTTGCTATGTAACTATATGTTATATAGTGTTTTGTATTTACTCTTTTTTTTGAGACAGTCTCACTGTGAGCTGTGACGCCACAGCACTCTACCAAGGGTAACATAGTGAGAATCTGTCTCAAAAAAAAGAAAAAATACAAAACACTATATAACATATACATATATACCATACCATACTTTACTTACATAATAAGTAAAATATTTAAAAATAAGCATATACTTGAAATTTATGATAATCATTGCCTTTGGGGACATGAAAGAGTTGGGATGGGTGATGATCACGAGAGACTTGTGTTAACTATGTTGATAAACTTTTTTTTTTTTTTTTGAGACAGAGTCTCACTTTATTGCCTTCAGTAAAGTGTGGTGGCATCATAGCTCACAGCAAGCTCAAACTCTTGGGCTTAAGCACTTCTATTGCCTCAGACTCCCAAGTAACTAGGATTACAGCCTGAGCAAATGCCCACCACAATGCCCAGCTATTTTTAGAGACAAGGTCTCACTCTGGCTCTAGCTGGTCTCAAACCTGTGAACTCAGGCAAGCTCCCTGCCTAGCCTTCATTTTGATATCTTAAAAATAAAACTGTAATTGTGGAAAACTATAAATGCTGGCTTTAGGAAATGTGGGTGTTGACTACATTAATTTTTGTACTTTTAATTTTTCTCAAAAATGTTGGAAAGCCAGGTAATTTCCTTCAGCAAATTAATAGAAATGCTTCCTTTTTAACTTCACAGCTCACAGTGTTATATAAAAGTTAGTAGGTACAATGGCTAAAAGGTGGAAACAACTGAGAAATGCATCCAATAGGATATTACTTAGCTATAAAAAGGAATGAAGTTCTAATATATGCTGCAATATGGATAAATCTCAAAAACATGCTAAGTCATGTAAGCTGGACACAAATCGGCAAATACTGTATAATTCAACTTATATAAAATATCTAAAACAGGTAAATTCATAGAGACAGTAAGTAGATTTAGGTATTACCAATGGCTAGATTGGGTATAGGGTAAAATGGGGAGTTACTGCTAATGGATGCAAAGTTTCTATTAACATTGAAAATATAATTAATCACACTTAAAATAGTTAAATGGCAAATTTTTTGTTATATTTTACTTCTTCCCAAAAGTTATTAAGAATGATTTGGTTGGCAGTGCCCGTAGTTCAGTGGGTAGGGCATTGGCCACATATACCCAGGTTGGGAGGTTCAGACCCAGCCTGAGTCAGCTAAACAACAATGACAGCTGCCACAAAAAATAGCCAGGTGTTAAGCCCAAGAGTTTGAGATTGCTGTGAGCTGTGACACCTCAGCATTCTACCCAGGGCAACAGCTTGAGATTCTGTCTCAAAGAATGATTTGATTAAGTAGTAGTATACTTGAGGGCAAAACCATGTTTGATTTTTATGTTTTTACATAGTGGCATCA